AGATGATGCATTTTCAGTGAGACACCTGTGGATCGTCAGGAAAAACCACCATCACTGACCATTTCTACTAAGTATTTTTTTAAAACTCAGGAGTCCAGTACCATGTTCAAACAGCAGCGGTTATGGCAATAAAGAAAGAAAGAAAGAAAGCAGAAGTGCTAGTGTGGACAGTTTACATTGCAGAATTTTGTTTTATGGCTTGTTCTAAAGTGAAGACCATACAGTCCCATGCTGTTTCAAGTCGACACTATCATTACTAACAGCAGGCTGCAGACTCTGGCTTCTGTACATGGTTTTATGCCATGCACCGCTTGTCCAATTCCTTTTTCCACTCCATAGTCTCAAACTGCCTGACCTTAGGCAAGTATGCAAGTAAAAAAGTAAAATTATTGGAGCATATGATTTGCCTGTTGACCAGAGCATGCGAGTGGAATGGAGCGCGAGCGAGTGGGGAGGATTATGATGGATAGAGCAGTTTTGTTTTTTTTAAATAAACGGAGCATCACCCTATGTCCCACTCCAATTTCACTCCAGTACCGCTCACACCACCAGCCTGAAGTATGCCCAAGCCTGACCCAGAACGAATCTGTCTTGCACAGTCATCCAACACTTTGTCAAAAATCGACCGTTATGAGCTCATAACGAAGTTCCAGAAGTACTTTATAAAGAAAATTGAAAGGTCATACAGGTTTATATTTTTAATTCAGCCCATTGATTCGTTGAAATTTAGATATGACTTTTTGTATTATATTCCTTGTTGCACAGGCTTAACTGTATTTTGAAATAAATCATTTCTATTTGAAAAAAAAGGTCATTCTTTAGGTCTTTGGGATGTAAGGCTACAGTTTAAGCTAAAAGTGAAATACATGCAGATTTTTTTTTTTTCCTACTGTTTTGGAGTGGGTGGGTGCGAGCGATTTGATTGGATCGGGATGCAATCTGAGTTGAGCGATAATGAGCAGACCGGCCTGGTGCAGCTTTGAGCGTGGGAGCAAAGCAAGCGAACTGCTCTGTGAGAGACGAGCGGAAATTCTCACCGCTCCACTCATCTCATATGTTGTTGACAGCTTATTATGTTGCATGTTATCATATGTGAATAGATACTATAAACCGGGATCTCTAACTGGTTTGGCAGTTAAGCAGGAAACAACATTTCCTCTTGTAAGTGGCTGATCTTCTACTGATGGTCTGCCTGTATGTCAAGTTTATGTCAGCTCTTTTTCTGACTGCACACTTAGACAGGAAAAGCCCGAAGTACATTCATTAACCTGGGGTCTGGGTCAATTCATTTGACGGGGTTGGCTTTTAACACAGGAAGTCAAACCACCACCCCCTTAACCAATCAACCATCGATCATATATTGTAAACAGCATTTATAACATCATTTCTATTGTTCATGTTGGCAACAATTAGGAAGGTTCTTTGGGACAAACGTAATAATTATCTGGATACTGAATGATCTGAAGATAACACAATCATACATCTTGCTATTGACATGACTGCAGTAGGGTCAAGGTCAAAGTGTTTGTCATATGCACAGTTCGAACCGTGTTTCCCTGTACAATGCAATTCTTACTTTGTCATCCGCATGAATGTCACAGAATACAAATGAAATATAAAGTAGACAAGTAACACAAAATCTAAGGCACTTTAAGCAGCAAATGCAGCAATACAATAAAAATATATAAGAATATAATAAGAGAATGTGCAGCAGTCAACAGTCAATGTGCAGTAAGAAATAGCCTTCACAAGCCCATATTTGAAAGTTGTTTTTTTTTTCCTACTTAAGCCCAGTGTCAGTGTCTGTGGCCAGCAAAGGGGACAAGCAGTACATAGCTTGTAACCGTGACCTTTAATCACCACTAAGACTGTAATAGTTTCCATCTGGCCTACTGGAGACACCTGGCTGGTATCTTGGTTTTAAAGTCTCTGTTTACAGTGTGAACATTAAAAAAAAAACTAGCTCATAACTCCTCCTCTAATAATGTGTAGTGGTATCCACTGTTTGTATGGACAGAGAACCAAACTGCAAACTTTTGCAAGAGATTAGCTCTAAAAACCAGACTGTCTAATCTCTAATTACCTTGTACTTCAGGTTAGAGTGAATGAGATGTATTATTACTAATTATGACTTTGTATGAGCTTTTGCCTTGCAGCATCAGTCACAGCAGTGAGAACCCATGCTCCACGTGTGAACATCCTTCAACAGGCCACCATCTTTAGCCATTTATTGCTGTTAGAAACAGTAAGATGTTAGATGTTGTGGTGACCCTTCTAGCCTAAGGGTGCAAGATTGGGTGTACTATTAGAGTTATTAGGATGACAACAGAACTCCAAAAGCTGACAGCTAATATTTCTAAATTATGGAGTTGTACTGGCCATTTGATTGTCCTAAATACAAAAACATTTACTGAAATAATGAATTTCCAAGGCCTTTAACGCAGCATGACATTACTTCATTGCCCTGGACACAGTTTATTCCAGCAAATAAGAATAACTGTATTTTGAGGGACAGGAAAAGTTGGTTTCTTTACTGAAATAATTCACTTCATCTGATGCCCCCCTCAGGACATGGGCTTCACTGCCAGCTGGACTTAAAACAGCAAAGATAGCTACAAAAATAATCTTCGATGTGATTCAGAAATACTATTTAGAACATTTCAAGGCAATGATATCAATTTGGGTCACTGTACTTCACAGTAACGTTGGCAGTGCTCCAGTGCCTTACCCTCAACAGCCCCAGTAGGTTCTTCTAGGAAAAATGAGATATCTTTCTTCTCAGAGTCATCAATGTGATCGTAGGTGATCTGGGGGATTGACAGAGCTCTCTCTGAGGCCACACCCATGGAGACAACACCTCTGGACTTTGGCCTCCTCTTGGTCCCCTTTTTCTAACAGACAAAGCAAATATCAACCTCATTAATTAAAAAAATGTATATCAAGACATCATTATGATAAAGAGTAATCACAGTTAAGAATCACTCTGATTTATACTGATGGAGTTTGTCCCCAAAAGTTACAGTAAAACATGTAATGCTTCCTCTACCTCAACTACCCTAAGTGGTCTAATTGAAGCTTATTGTATTTATGGACATGGTTCACTCAACACAGATGTACTTGTATGGAATTAATACTTGGTTTGAGATCTTTGAGTGTCAAGAGGAGGAAAGCAACTGTACAGATAGCGTATTAGCCCATATTTATCACCCACGAATGAGGCCATACATTTCCCTTTTTAAATTGCTTGGCTGCCAATGAAAAGCCACCTCCACCATAGAGGCTTTGGTTCCAGAACTAGTGTTGTGCACAGAAGTCAGCCCAACTACTGCATATTTCCAGTAGCTGACACTATTCTCCCTACTGTATACTGACTCCACAGGTGACTTCTATATCCCAGTGCTTGGTTTGTGTACACAGAGATCAATCCACCAAGAGCCCTGGCTTTTCCTGCTTTTTGACTGGCGGTGCACCAGACTCCTACCCTTGCAGGTGGTGTGGCAACATGGAAGCAGCTAGAAGGTACAATTAGTCTTACCGCAAATCATTTTTACTCCATTCAACACAAGAGCCTTTTTTATGAGTGGGATCATAGATACGTGTTATCCGAGTCAGTGAGTTACTTGGCCTAAATGGTGTCTGCAATCTAACCCTTAGATGAACTGACCCACAGAAACATTATAGACATGGTCTTTACAGAGTCTCAGTTATTTGGACTCAGTGGATTAGACGTCGGCATTGACGAGCAGCCAGCAGTTCAATCCAAATATCTGAGGTTTGAATGACTCATTAGGAGAGAAAGAGACAGACAGGGAGGTGGTGGGTGTTGTAACACAACGAGAGAGAAAACAGAGAAAAGAAGGGGGGGACTGTAACATGCACCGAGTGTAAGACAGATGATGATAAAGAAACAGACTGATGGAATTACCCATGAAGAGGAAAGGAAGAAAAACCAATGTGAACACGGATAAGAAAAGAGACAAGGCAGAAAGGGAGAAGACAAAAAGAGCAGAAAAGTAAAAGACTGTGAAATAAAGTCTGTTAGACCAAAGAATCAGCCGAGAAATCGTGAAAGACAGAAAGGGGGAGAGAAGAAAGTCAGAGGAAAAAGTCACATGCTGAAACAGAAAAGAGCGGAAGCAGCCTTCATTCTCCCCAATACATGTGGGTTCAATGCTACACAAAGATTTTTTTGTTGTTGTTCTCCTAGACAAAGGTTTACTGCCATGAGAAAGGCAGTGGTGACATCATCTCCACTGACTGAGCCTTTGTCCAGAAGAGACAAAGGCCTCGAGTCATCCTGGTGGAGTCAAGCCTTGTGGGGAGGGGGCTGCTGTGTGTGCGAGTATGTCTGCGCTTTGGGTGGATTGTGTATCCTTCCGTGTGTGTGCATGTTTGTGGGGACTATACTTGCCCTTTTATGCTGCATGGCCTAGGCACAACATAGCTAATATTGTTGTGAAATGTGAAATGCACAAGGAGACAATACGGTGTGGGCCAGACATATGTAAATCCACCCTACAGTTTGATGCCTTTTTCCCGACAAAGCTCTTTTGTAGAGTTCCTGATGTTCTGCACATTAGGTTCAAAGGATTATGTCAACCGTCTACTGAAAAACTGAAATGTTTTTCCCTCATATGAGAAATCCCACATATTGTATGTGCATTATCATTTCAAAAGGAAGTATCTAGAATCAGAGCTTGAACAAATAAATGATCATATGACCAAGTTCAAAAACTAGATTTTGTGGGTGGGGTTTCACCTTTTTTGGACAGTTCAAAATAAAGACACAGTGGAAGACAGAGTCAAAGAAAAGTCTGCTTGGATTTAAACCAAGCTCACCACAGGGCTGCCGCCTTAGCCCACAGCATCAAAGACATCATTATCTACAGAGGGTTTTTAATCTAACCTGTCCTCTGAGGAAAAACACATCAATAGTAATGAAACTCTACAAAATAGGACCCACACAATACCCTTTACTCTGAATTAAACTAGATAATTACCGGTATGTTAAATTTCTTGATGTTAGGGCTAGTGCTGCCAGATTCCAGTGTGGTGACAGCCTCTGGAGTTAGGACATACATTTTCCATGTAACTTCACAGCCACCTGGTTTCTCTGCTGCATAGCATCTCCATAGTGTCTGCAGTAGACAGGTTAAACCACAGAATCAGTGTTAGTCTGTGCATTTCTCATGGCACCATAAGACTATGCCAATGACGCAACAATATGAGCCACAGATTCAGGAATACAAATTGCTAACAAGTACTGATTGCTTTACATTTACTATATATGCTGTACAAATTAAGTTTGCATTGTTTTGGTAGTGTCCTGCAGATACTGAGGAGTCTGTCACTGGCATTTAAATCTGATGTGGTCATGTCTCACTGTATTTAGCACAACCCTAATCTTTTAAATAGTTTGCTTTTGGCACAACAGAGATACTTGTTCGATCATTTCACTGCTGGCGAGTGTTATACTGTACAGCTCACATTTTCCATGTCTTTGTCTCTGTCCAGACAACACATACTGATACTTTTTTCTCTGTTCAAGTTGATTGGCAAAATCTGTTAAGTTCAAGTTAGCATCTTTCAAAACATAAGCCTCAAAGTGAAAAGATTTTATAGCCATTTTCATCACAAACTGTGGTACAGAAGATACACCTTCCCATTCAGTGGCAAAGTGGGTCCAAACTGGTATTGTATGTGTCTACTGTTAAATCGTTAATGGACTTTGCCTGACCTAGTCTGCAGTGCGTACCTAATGAATTGTACAAAACCTAAATGCATGCACTAGCATCCTAATATCCAATTAATCATGGAACAGTTAAATTAGTTTTTGACATACAGTAAAGGAATATACCAGTGAATTTAAACGGTTTTTATGTTTGCAAGATGTTCTATGATATTACCTTACAGCCAAGATGTTTCCATTCAATGCCAAAACGTACCTGGATGAGGGATGCTTCTGTCTCTGCTTCTGTTGGACCTTCAGAGCAAACCCTGAGCCCAGGATACCCTAATCAGAGAGAAATGGTTGTAATGTACAGTTGATTGAAAGAAATTGCATGTAGCATTTAATGCAGAGGTTGGAAAGGTAGATGCAAATTACCACTAAACTTATTTTTTCCTCATTGTACAAGTGCACAAGTATTACAGTATAGGGACAAAAGTGGTCTAATTGTGTTTAATCACAGAGCATTTCCTAAATCAAAATGAAAAACTGCAGTCAAATAAGTTGGAATACATTTTGAACAGAATAAAATACAGTAAAACAAATCTAAAATAAAGTCTTAATTATTATTATGATTTAGAATAAAAGTGTATTTACAGCTGGCAGAGCAAAGAAGGAGATGGCAAAGACACTGAAGCAGGAAGCAATGGCCTTGCCTATCCACGTCTGAGGAATTTTGTCACCATAGCCGATGGTGGTGACAGTCACCTAGACAGAGAGAGCGGATGATGGTCCTCTTACAACTATTAAAATTATTATAAAACAGTGTACATATCTCTGACAACTCTTCAATGTTATAATAACAAAATTAAAGCTACATCATTGCAGGTTGATACAGGAAACTACAGGGTGTCTGTTCTTTATGCCTCTCACAAAAATTGGTTGCAAACAAAAGTCATTGTCAAAAGATCATACTCAAAAGCACAAATTCAATATAATTTACCTTAATTTAAAGCTAATGTTTAACATGTAAGTTGAAATAAAAAAGGTTTAATTTTATTCAGAGTTATCAAAATCTCATTTCATTTTTAATGGACTGATGCAGTGTAAATGTAGGTCAGTGCAGTGTTTTCAGAGCTTTACCACAGCAGTCTACAAGATGAATTAGATCATAAAACAGAAGTTCAGCCATTTTGGCCTTATTCCACAGATGTCAGAGATGGCTGAGACATTTGCAGCTCCCGCTTCTCAGAGTGAAAGAGATTCCCAACCACTAATCCTCAACAAGAGTAAGAATTTGCTGGGTTGTGGGGAAAACAAATACCTCTTGTATTTGCATGTACACCCACTCTGAGAAATTTGAGCCAATTCTGACACATTCAGAACACACTTGGCTTACAGTGGGTGTCTAGGGGAGTTTCACTGCATGAGCCACCGCTGTGCACTAACACAAAGCGGCTGATGTAAGGTGAGATACTTAAACGGGCTTCAGGAGCAAAAAGGAACAAGAGGTAAAGGGTGATGGGCGGAACAGTGGGGGACTTAAATCTCTCACTCACAAATGTGATGACTTAACAATGTCCTCCTGATCATCACAGTGGATTTGTCTACTCAAAATACCCCTCTCTATCAGATTGTAGGGTATGTGCCACTACAAAACTGCAAGTTTAGCACCATCAGCTTTAATTTTCTGATTTTCCTTGTCACAGTGTGTCCCGATTGAAGATAAACGTTAATATCACACAACCATCAGCCACTGGCAAAAAAAAAGAGAGGAAGCAGGGAAAGCGAGAGAAGTGGATATGAATCATGGCATTAGCTTGTTCTCCAGCTGCGTCCCACACCTGCAGCTCCGAATGTGGAAATCATGCCAAGCGAAGGAATACACACTGGGAGAGCTTAGCATTCTCCAACTGGCACCATCTCATTTCAATAAGCCCACACACACAAACCTGACCAGACCTATTGTAATAGCATATCATGACTCTCAACATGACCCTTCTCAGAAAAACAAAAACGTGCAAATTGCCAAGCGTGATTCTTTTCTTCACAGGGTGAACAGAGAAACAAATAACAGCTTTTCTTCAGCTTTCCATAGAGCAGAACTGTGACCCGTCTCACCCTCGTTACATAAAAGGTAGTAATCCCACAATTAAAGTTTTAATTAAGGGAACTGACACTTTATACTGGTGCTCTAAAAGTTCTTTGAGCCAAAGAGCCCAGGGGTGAATGGTTTATTACCATCTCTTTGTGGCACGTTGATCCCCTGCACAAGGCTGCCATAGGTTTCTCATTATGCTGTGTTTTCAATTCAAATGTTTAATTAACTGCCCTGGAAACCTGAGCCTCCACACAGAGGGAAATAGGCAAAACCAGCTCTACGCATGAAAATAAACATCAACACACCCTCCTCTGTGTTAAGTGTTGCAGCAGCTCATGCATGCTGCACGAAGAACCAATGAGAGTGAAAACACAAGGAGGATAATAATTGGTCCAACTCGTGTAGCCAGTCATCTCCAGCTTTCCAGTAAAGGCTTCACTTGAGAGTCTATTATACAGATGAGTTGTTATAGGTCTCGGGAAGAAGAATCTTTTTTGATATGCATGTGATGTGGCCTTTCAAGTATGTGAGCCATGTTGAGGAACTTGAGTAGCATTCAGGCATCGCACTAATATATACACTGCATCAAAAAAAAATTAATTCTGAAAACAGCAGTGATGCACACAAAACTATCAGCAAGGGACTTATTTTGGCCACAATACAAAGCAGTGTATTTCCTAGTGTGCTGCCTTACCACGCCCCACCACAGGGCATCAGCATAGCTGGAGAAACCTGTCTTGCCCTCCTCATCCACAGCATCCTTCTCGGCCAAGTAGACAAAATAGGAAGAAAAGATCAGGCCCAGAAAGCCGATGTACAGGGTAGTGATCAGCTCCTGAAAAACATTAAAGTTTACCATAGATGATACTATGAAAATGTTTTATGAAAGATAACAGTATACACGTACTATATGAAGAATATACCTTGTCCATTTGTACCAGTGTATTACTGGTACAAATGGACAATGTAAATGCAAAACTAAAATTTCAACTTGTTACATTCAGTCACGAACATAATACAGTGTTCCTTAAGTTTTCTTATAGGCAAAACACAGCACAGAGAGAAATACTCTACATATCAGCTACATGTCTTGAGTGTTGGCTCAGGCTTTCAAAGCTTTATTTTCTGAACAAATAAAACCCAAATGTGAACGCACACTTAAATCAAATGCTATTCTGAGCACATATCCTAACATGCTTAGTAAACCCAGCTCCATCAGCTTATTGACATGGCTCAAGACAAAAACACTCTATATTTCCACTAAACAGTGCAGATCATGTAATAAAGTTGTCACCTGAGAGATTGCAACAAATCCCATTAAGCTCGTCTTGGATTTATCTTTTCACATAATCCTCACTGGTCTTCTTATGCATCAAAGAGACTTGAATGTCAGGCTCAACCACAACTAAAAACTTCTACTTCAGGGATTAAGAAAAGAACACCACATCCTACTACATCGTTGCTTATTAGCCTGAGAAAATACTAAAACTACTGTACCAGAATACAAAGGGGAAAAAGTGTAGGAAACCTGGACAACCACTTTTCTTCTCCTTATAAAGTTTGGACTGTTGTGGCTTATTTGTGCATGTATTTCTGACTGGGCACACCGGATTTGTTGTAAAAAGCACAGTATAGATTATAGCATCTTGCTATACAAGCAACCTGTATAAGAAACTACAGCTAACTGGCACAACTGAAGTAGAAGAAACATTCATCCATCCATCCATCCATTTTCCTCCGCTTATCCGGGACCGGGTCGCGGGGGCAGCAGTCTACGCAAAGATGCCCCGGGGGAATGCTGAGGCGTTCCCAGGTCAGCCGAGAGACATAGTCCCTCCAGCGTGTCCTGGGTCTTCCCCGGGCCCTCCTCCCGGTGGGACATGCCTGGAACACCTCCCTAGGAAGGCGCCCAGGAGGCATCCGAAAGAAATGCCCAAGCCACCTCAGCTGGCTCCTCTCAATGTGGAGGAGCAGCGGTTCTACTCTGAGCTCCTCCCGGGTGACCGAGCTCCACCCTATCTCTAAGGGTGCGCCTGGCCACCCTGCAGAGTAAGCTTATTTTGGCTGCCTGTATCAGGGATCTTGCCCTTTCGGTCATGACCCAAAGCTCATGAACATAGGGGAGAGTCGGAACGTAGATTGACCAGTAAATCGAGAGCTTCGCCTTACAGCTCAGCTCCTTCTTCACCACGACGGAGCGGCA